GGGAGCAGCCCCGGGCGGGAGGGCAGCAGCCCCGGGCGGGAAGGGAGCAGCCCCGCGGGCGCAGCGCCGACATCCCGGCGCGCCGGGGCCGGCTGCGCACCGCTCCGGCAGCTCCGCCGCTGCCGCCCCGCCGCTTCCCCGCCCGCCCGGCGGCGATGCCAGACCTGAGGACGCTGTCATCTTAAAGAGCGCAGGGGAGGGACCGTGTGAAGGGAGGAGGCGGGGGCCCAGCAGCAGCATCTCCGCGGGAGCCGCCGCACGAAGGCGCGCTCCCGGCCGCCCCGCTCGCCGCCCCGGCCTCCAGCGCGCCGCCGCCTCCCCGGGCAGCGGGGCTCGGCAGCCCAGGCGCCGCCGCGGCGGGGGAGGAGGCGGCCGCGGCCGCGGCGGGGCGGACCGCGCTCGGCGGCGGCTGCCGCAGGCGGCCCCGGCCCCGGCCCCGCGCCCGCCGCCGCCCCCGGGCCGGCCGTGCCGGTGCCGCCCCTCGGCCGCGCCCGCCCCCCGGCTGCCTGCTCGGCGGCGCGGCAGAGCCGCCGGGGCTATGGCTGCGGAGGAGGTGCTGCAGGGCGCAGACCACTACAAGAGCGAGATCGAGCGGCTGACCCGGGAGCTCTCCGAGACGACCCACGAGAAGATCCAGGCGGCGGAGTATGGGCTGGTGGTGCTGGAGGAGAAGCTCACCCTCAAGCAGCAGTATGATGAGCTGGAGGCGGAGTATGACGGCCTCAAGCAGGAGCTGGAGCAGCTGAAGGAGGTGAGCCAGCCGGGGCTTTTGTCTCGCCCCGCCGCCGCCGGGGGCTGCGGGCAGGTGCGGGGCGCCCCACGCGTGTCCCCGCCCGGCCCCGCGCCAGCCGCTGCAGGTGGGCGAGCGGGGACGCGGTGCGGAGGAGGGGCTTCCCGGGGCCGAGGATCAGCCGGGATCCTGGCGCTTAAGGACGGATTACACGAGATCGCAGCCCCTTGCCCTGAGAAATTCCCCCGGCGCTCCGGCTCCTGCCGCCGGCAGCCTCAACTTGTGGGGACAGGCGTTTGCGGCAGGGGAGGGTCCCCCCGGTTCTACCTGCGCCGCATCGCCCAAGGCTTTTTTAGGAAGAGCAAAGGAAACAGTGGGATGAGAGCTGGGCCAGCGCAGTGCATACGGAGTCGGGATCTCTGTAAACAGCTGTCTGCAGTGCGTGAGGAGAGAGACAATTCCTTTTGAAGTTATTTATAGACCCGCTTTAGTCTGCCAGTAAGGGGAACCGCTGCCATTGGGGAGGGGGGCTGTACAACACTCTCGAGGTCACCCATCAGTGGAAATTAAACTTCTGCGTCATGCTGAAGGGGTGAAGTATTTGACTGGAGGAGTGATTTGGGGTTTTCTTTCAAATGTGTTTTTGTAACACTCAAAGTATGAAGTAGGTGGGTGTTACACCTTGCCTTTCAGCTCTGCTAAACATGACAGACTCCAAAAAATCATCACTGTCCCTATGTTCATCCTTAAGGGAAGCAACTTGAGGCCGCTAACAGTGCACGTAGGAAGGACTGTGTGTGCACACGTATGCAGCACTCACAGCTCTGCACTTCATGCTGTTTTTATACCATCTCAGAATGTAAATGACTAGGTTTTGTAAACAGAAGGTAAAGCATCAAACAGATATTCTCTCAAATTTACAATGTATCTTTTTGCCCTACAAAAAAAATACCCAAACCAAACCAAAAAAACCCTGCTATATAGAATGTGCAGAAATTCTGTTAGAGTTAATGACATTTCTATTAGAAACCATGAACATATTCCATATGGTGAAAATACACTTAAAAAACTTATTTATGTGTATATTCTTTAGAGTACTAACTGATGCCCTTTTAGTAGTGTTTTCAATAAAATAAAGGTTTCATTTTACTTGCAGGTAAATGAGTTATGCTACAGATGGTTCAGTGTCCAGAAGAGTTGAGAACATTTTTTTTTCAATATGAAGAATAAAAGCTGTTTTTCAGAAAAACTTACTGATCTCCTTAAACTTGATCTCTGCCTCCCTGCCCCCCTGAGCCTATGGAGTAGGCTCAGGACTTTTGAAACCAGTAATAACAGAGTGAGGGGTAGAGATACATAAATTGTCACTGGCATGAAGGCAGTGCTGTTTGAAATGACCTGACAGTAATAGAGGAACAGAATTAAAAAGGGAAAGTGCAATGCTGTTTCTAGGGAAAAAAAGAAGAAGAAGAAGATGAAGAAGGAGATAAGCCAGGCTGCAGCTAGCTGTTATTTCACCATAATCATGTACAAGAGAAGACTGGTGAGAAGCCAGGATGACACATGGGTGCACAGATAGAAGAGGTAGTGCAAAGAATTGAGTAATAATCAAAATTATGAAACTAGAGGGATTAATAAACGCAGTTAATTGAAATCAAAGATGGGCACAAACTCTCTTCCCATTTACCTCCCTTTGAAGTTAGTGGGGTTGCATGCTCTGCAGCCCAGAATATCTCCTGTGGGGCCATGCCTTCATGCTGTGCCAGCCACAGCATGGATACTGGGGGGATGTTCACAGAGGGAGGAACAGGAGAAATCCCTGATGCCAAGCAAGAGTGGAGCTTCTTCAGTTTCCAGTCCAGACCCAGGGCTCTCAATTCCAGACCTCTCCTTGGCAGCAGGTAGGGCGTTTCCATCCCTCACCTAGGCTGCAAGCAATTATTTCTTTGCTTTTAACCTTTATAGCAGAAACCACACTGATTCTTACTTCACATGCACTCTGCAGAGGAGAATTTTCTTTTAGCCCTTCCTCTTGCTGTAATCTGTCTTTTACGTCTGTGTTAACACATCCATGATGTCAGTTCCCTCAGCACAAGTCAGACTTGTAATGGTGAGACACAAGCAAATGGTGCCTCTGATACCACCAGTGAGGCAGAGTTCAAGTAGTGCAGGCAAATTGTCCTGTGGAGTGTAGATGTGGGGCTGTAGGGTTCTGTCTGAAAGCTCTTAAGGGGGCAGAGAAGTCCAAAGAAACATTTTTAGTTTAGTAAAGCAACATCCAAAATGTGTGGAGGAGGGTTTTTGTGTCCTTCCTCCAGCAGGTCCTTGCAAGAAGGTGCTGCCCAATGGTAGGAGATAGAATGCCAAGACTGACTGACTAACAGGAATCTCTCCTTTGCTCTTACTTCACTACATTTGCATCCTTTTTGAAGCCATTTTGGGGCATAGAAATCAGGCCTTAGGTTTGGGCTAGAACAAGGAGTTTGTCCATTCCCAAGGAGTAGTAGGTGCAAGAGGGTGGCCGGGATTATTTTAGGACAATTACTTCTTCTGCTGGACCTTTTCTGAACAGATTCAGTTACTGGGCTTGGCTTTTTTTGAGACAAGTCTTAATTTTTTAACAGTTTTATTAGTGATTTCTTGTGTTCTGCTGTTAGGACCTCATTGTATTTATTACTCAGTTGAAGAGATGCCTCTCACTTTACTCAGCCATGGTTTGACAGACTGGGATCTGAAGTCTTCTCCCATTCTCCTTGGCAATCCAAAACTCCAGTGGAGTTTAACAGTCCTTTTCCATGTAAATGGAAATACCTCAGCTATACAATAATTTCCATCATTGGAGAGTGAAATGGGAAACTAAGGCCATTATAGGATGTTGAAATAAAAGCAAATTACAATATATTACATTAAATATTAATACTTGTGTACAGGATATATGCTATCCACCCTGCAATATGAATTGTTTTAGTAACCTCTGATGTTTCTTTTGCTGTGTTCAGAGGTCTCTGCTTTAGCCCAAGATTTTGATGTTTTGGACCATGAGAGAAATTTATGTTGCAAACCTACTATTTTTATTTAATTTTCATAAGGTTTGGGTTGGTTGGTTTTTTTTTTCAGCTTGAAAATGATGTTTCTACAGTCAATTACATCTCAGTCTAATAGAATTTTGTTTTTTTGGTGAAACACTATAGTTTCAGGGCCCCTGTTACGAATGTTACTTTTGCTGATGTGCCTTTACAGTCCATAAAAATTCAGAGACTGGGACTTGTTGCTATTAGCCATGGGATTGAAGGTAGCTTGTTTTCATTGTCTTGCTCAGTTGGGAGTTTAATTACGATCATATTTTATGTAAAACATCTTCCAGTGATTTTATTATATCTGGTCTTACATGTTCGCATTGCATTTTCAGTAAGAATAATATGTGTTGTTAGTTTTATTTCTTTTAATGGAAGTGTAAAATGGCTTCATATTGATCTTCTTGCCTGTTCACTGTAGCTGTCTCCCTGCTTTAGCATGGGGGTCCCTTCCAACCTCAGCCATTCCATGATTCTCTGATCAGCCACTGGACACTGGTGGCTCATAAAGTTTTTAAAGCAGAGAAATATCAGTCACATCTGCTCATGATTAAATAGATATGGAAGGCTTTGGAGTCCACCTCTGCAAGAATTAGACCTGGGAAATCCTAGCAGACATTTCTCTTTGGGAATCAAATCATGAACATGGCAGCTGTTGCTGCTTTAACTTCCTCTCTGACTGACTCATTTAGACAATATCTCACTTGGCTTCTTGGCTTTTATGTATTTCATTCTATGGAGACAAACTCTTCTGCTGGGTTGCACATAGCACTGGCTATCTGATTTCCAGGCAATTTGGTACTTGCTTTACTTAAAAGCAAATTATCCACAGTAAATACCTGGAAACCAGGCTAGTGGTGAGTAGCCCTGTCCTTGGCAGGTGTTTGTTTTCTTTACCTCACAGAAATGTTGTGTCAATGATTATGAAGTGCTTACTCAGTTTACTAATAGGGCTTCCAGAAATAATTCTTGGTCTGTGTCTGAAAGGGTTTTTTGAGGAGTAGAGCTGAGTAGAGCTCTGGCACCTTCTTTTGCACTATTTCAGCACAGGTGACTCAATCTCCATCTCTCCTCTTCTAAAGTGATGCTGCCCCTCCAGCTCCCCCACTGTTCTCCAAAACCTCTCGCCCTCCTGCTACTTGAATCACCTCTGCCTCTTCCAGTGTACATTTGGTGAGACTTCTCTGGATCCAAAAAGGCTGGAGGAGAGGTAGACTCCTCCCAAAAAGTATCTCAAATACAGCTCTCTTAAATATGGATTCTTATACACACTTGTCTACATCATAGGATGCTTAGAAAAGTGTGAAGTGGCTCATAAATCCCACTGAGATGTTCCAAATTCTCCCCACAGCGGAATGTGTTCCACATATGGAGCTTGGGAGCTGTGAACTGCTGCCATCTCAGTATATCTTTACACCTCCTTCCAGTGACAGCGTCTGTGGGCTTGTGTTGGATGAGGTGAAACATTTTCAGTGCCTCATCCTGATCTCACCAC